GGTGTAGGGTTGTGTTCGCGGCTTGCCGTACGTGAAAGCCTTCAAAGATTATTGGTCCTTGAATAAACAAATGAGAAAATTAAAGGTTAAAAAATAATATCTTACATCCCATTAAAAAAACAGATTCTTTTTCTGCAACTTTGGTAAAGAGTAATTCAAATTACTATCTAATTCTAGTCTCCCTTTGGGGAAAAAAAATCTTCAAACAACTGACAAAGAAACCAAGAAAGTTTATCCCTTTTACTTTTCCACAGTTTTCATTTTTACTGGATAAAAGTTACAGTAGCTCAACATTCTTTTTTTGTTAGGAAGATGAAAAATAACCCCAAACCAAAAGTAGTTGTGAGTATCCAGGAACAAATATGCTAATTTTTATTTACCTAGAGTGGAATGAAACTGGGAAATAGCAAACCTTTACTTTGTATTTCCCTTTGAATAGCTAGTAATATAACTTTCTGTACCAAAAGGACAGTTTTCTATAAGGATAATTAAGTTGTATTAAATTTCTAAGATAGCACTAGTGACATGCAAAATATTTCCTAGATCAAGTGACTAGCTATCAAAAGAAACTGTAAAGGTCAGCTCCTTGGGGATACAAATTTAAATGTCACTTGAGTAAGTGTTCCATATATATCTGTTTGATAAAATTTAAGTTATGCTTTTGTAATTTAGAATAGAAATATATTCTTGTGATTTAGTAAAGTTATCATGGAGGGGATTATATTAAAGGATTATGTATAGTATAGAAAAAAGAGAAGCACTGAATAGATGAATAAGGAGTTAGAAATTATCTTGTAATTTATCTGGAGTAACAGAGCTCTGGGGTGGATCAAAGAAAATGTTTTGGATTTGGCCTCTGGGAAACGTTTTGCTATTTTAGTACCAGGCAAAGCCAATCTAACTCAGGTTGTACACATAAAGCAGAATGTAATAAGCGAGTTACTTTTCCTACCTCCAGTGTAGTGGTGCTTACTAAAAAGAGCCCAGAAATTTATATTGCTGAGATCTAATATCACCTTTCAAACTTCTGAGTTTTCCACATTGCAGTCACTCAGGGCTAGTAAGAGGCAAATATTGTGAGATATATTTAATTATCTTAGGAGGCCAATTAAAAAGTCAATTAAAAATGAAAAATCATGTCACTAGAATGAAAAGCCAAGGGATTTTGACAATCAAGAAAACCGTAGTTTACAATTTAAGATGAACACACAAAACCATTTATGTTTATGTAGACTAAACTACAGAGTATTATTTTAAGATATGAATTGATTTTTTGAGATAAAGAAATCATATTGGCTGAACAAAATAAAAAGTTAAGTGTATAATGAAAGAGAGTTTGGACAGCTGATGAGATTTGAAAGGACTGTTGGCGACCAAAGGAATGTGTGTGAAGACTGTGGCATATTAATGCCATGGGATATTATATCGCCAGTAGGAATTACAAACATCAAGCTCCTTCTAACATCAATGTTTTAGGATGATATATAATATTCTTAAGGTGTTCTTCTGACTAAAATCATAGGTTTTAGATCATGTTTCATGTGTTAATGTAATTTAAAAATTTAAGCATATAGTTTGATTAAACCTGGTTTTAAAATGAATGAATAAATCATTAAAAATTAGCTCTTACTTTCCCTCTCCCATACACACACACCAGAATCTCATTTATGGCTTTTACTGTTAAGAGATCTGCCCTCTTAACAAATATTTAAGTGCACAACACTGTATTGTTAACTGTGGGTACAATATTGTACAGTGGATCTCTAGAACTTATCATCTTGCATAACTGAAACTACTGAAACTTTATACCTGAAAATGGTCCAGCAGGATACCGTAGCAAATTAAGAACATGAGTTGTGGAATCAGACTGCCTGGGTTTGAACCTTGGTTCTTTTCTTTTTATTTCAGCATATTATGGGGGTACAAATGTTAAGGTTACGTATATTGCCCATGTCCCCCTCCCCTCTCGAGTCAGAGCTTCAAGCGTGACCATCCCCCAAACGTTGCACATCTCACTCATTGTGTTTGTAGATACTCATCCCCTCCTCTCCCCTCCCACCCGCCCGACACCCGATAAAAGTTTTTCCTATATGTCCACTTAGGTGTTGATCCATTAATACCAATTTGCTGGTGAGTACACGTGGTGCTTGTTTTTTCATTCTTGGGATGCTTCACTTAGTAGAATGGGTTCCAGCTGTATCCAGTATAATACAAGAGGTGCTATATCACCATTGTTTCTTAAAGCTGAATAGTACTCCATGGTATACATATACCATGTTTTATTAATCCACTCATGAATTGATGGGCACTTGGGTTGTTTCCACAACTTTGCAATTGTGAATTGTGCTGCTATAAACATTCGAGTGCAGGTGTCTTTTTCATAAAGTGACATTTGATCTTTTGGGTAGATGCCCAGTAGTGGAATTGCTGGATCAAATGGTAGATCTACTTGTATCGCTTTAAGGTATCTCCATATTGCTTTCCCCAGAGGTTGAACTAGTTTGCAGTCCCACCAGCAATGTAGGAGTGTTCCTATCTCTCCGCATTCATGCCAACATTTATTGTTTGAGGACTTTTTGATAAAGGCCATTCTCACTGGAGTTAAGTGACATCTCATTGTGGTTTTGATTTGCATTTCCCTGATCATTTGAGATGTTGAGCATTTTTTCATGTGTGTTGGCCATTATTCTGTCTTCCTTTGAGAAGTTTCTGTTCATGTCCTTTGCCCATTGTTTTGATAGGGTTGTTTGATTTTTTTCTTGCTGGTTTTCCTGAGTTCTAAATAAATTCTGGTTATCAGTCCTTTATTGGATGTGTAGCTTGCGAAAATTTTCTCCCATTCTGTAGGTTGTCTGCTCTCGTGACAGTTTCTTTGGCTGTGCAGAAGCTTTTTAATTTGATCAGGTCCCATTTATTTATTTTTGTTGCTGTTGTGATTGCCTTTGGGGTCTTCTTCATAAATTCTTTGCCTAGGCCAATGTCTAGAAGAGTATTTTCAATATTTTCCTCTAGAATTCTAATAGTTTCACACCTAATGTTCAAGTCTGTTACCCAGCGTGAGTTGATTTTTGTGAGAGGTGAAAGGTGTGGGTCTTGTTTCAGTCTTCTACAGGTGGCTATCCAGTTTTCCCAGCACCATGTATTGAATAAGGATTCTTTTCCTCAGTGTATGTTTTTGACATTGGACAAGTTACTTAGCCTCTTTTTTGAAACCTAAGTATTTGATCCAGCAAAACAGGGATAGTAATGGTATCTATCTCACAGGGCATTTGTAAGCAATTAAATGTGCTGATGTGGGTAAAACACTTAAAGCAGAGAGTACAGTATGTAGTTAAAGCTCACTAAATGTTATATAATGCCATTTAAAGACATAATTTCCAACCTGAAGGAATTGATAATCCCACAGAGTGATATTTCTATTTTGGGAGATAATACTAATATATATGTAGAAATTGGGAAAAAAATAAGTACTAAGTAAGCAGTGTGGTATAGGCTATATATACATAATATATGAGAGAAGAAAAAATTTCGGGTGGGATTGCAGGTGATTGAAAGTTTTATGGTATGTTTCTGCATGGGAGGAAGTGGGACTGTGAATGGAAATGAGAACATAGGCAAAAGCCTGGAAGTAGGAACAAATGAGTCACCAGATTCTTTTATGTGCAACAGAATTTAACTATGGCCATATTTTGTTCTAATTTTTCCAAAATTGAGAATTTATGTAGTACATATGAATCAATATATTTAAGGAACAAAATCATCCCTAAATACTTTAAATTATATCTTACTATATATTTTTAAGGTAATACTTTAACATACCTGATCTCACTTGAGTTTCACAAATGCCCTGTAAGAAAGGCAGGACAAATACTATCATTCTTATCTTACAGATTAGGAAGTTGAGGATCAGAGTTTATGTCACTTGCTTAAATTTATGTACCTAGTAAGTAATACAGTCCAGGTTAGCATCCAGGTCTCTGGTTTCCAAGGTAGTGCTCATGTACTATACTATTCTGCTTGCTAAATAGCAGAAGGCTTAGTAAATGAGAAATGAGGACTGACTCTTATGATAAATATTATATTTTGTCTTTGTCCCAAACAAGGAAAAAGTGTATAAGGTAAAAGTATAGGTACTTTCAAGTCACAGGTATGTTAAACAAAAATAACTAGACACCAGTTATTACTATGCCTTTGAGGTATTCTCTCTTTATGTTTTGTAATTTTTTTCCAAGGGACTGCAACACCAGAAGTGGAATAGAAATAATGTACACATGACAGATTCGGATAGAACTTTTCCTTTTTCATAGCTTTCCTTTTTTTCACTATTATCATTTATTTCCTCTGAAGTAATACCTTCTGAAACACAAAGTTAAGGAATAGACCACACTTCAGCAAATGCTTGCCCATGAATATTATATTTCAGCCACGGGCAAGTTGTTGTTGCTGTTTTAAGAACAAAGCTTCCACTGTAATATAAAAACCACTGTAAACATATCCTTGATATTCCTGTCAACATGCCAATAAAAAAGCAATTAAACAATAATAAAGCTTATAATTAACTTTTACCCATAATGTATATCATAGAGCAAAATCTCTTACATGTAGTTATACACATATACATAAATATATGCACTTCTTAAAAGAATTATAACATGGACATTCAAAATTTTCTTCAGAAATCCATTGTAGTTAATTTTGATCCCAATAATAAAAACATAGAAAAGAAGAGTAGACCCCTTTTCTTCTTCTTTAGATAAATTTTTAATTATTTCTGTTTGTATAATGGAGTACCAGTTGTCATGCTTCTTCTTTTTTTTTGTCATGCTTCTTAAGGAAGCATTATATATTATGGAGGAAGAGAACTCCCTATAGGAATCTCAATGAGCAATAAAAACTTCATTATTCTCTTTTGTGGGCCTAGGGCAGGGGCAGAAAAAATTGGAGACAAACTGGCTTCTGACTAGATTTATTTTCATAAGTTTCCAGGTTATACATTGCATCGAGCCTTTAGGGCCATTTGGCTGAATACTAGTTTGTCCCAGCACATGCATATTCTCTGCTGGAAGAAATGGCCCCCACCTTGCCTAGCCAATCAGTACTACAAAGGAGGCTGACAGTATATTTTATGTAGCTCCTGTGTCACCTCCAGTTCTCATCTAATGGCATACATGCAAAGGAATATGTTAGGATGATTGAGAACTATTTGCTAATTTTATATCTTAAAGTCTAGTTCTTATGCTTTGTAAAGATTTTAGTTGAAGACGAAAAATCTTGACCTCACACTGATGTTTTACAGTGCAAATACACAAATATTCTCTACCTTCCCATAAATGGTCAAAAATTATTTATAATTTGGTTCATAGTTGAGGAATTTTAGCACTTAAAATATCTTAAATATATAATAATGTGAATACATAAATGAGATAGATTTATAGGCACACATAGTTAAGTGTTTGTAAATTATTAATAGAAAATTTTATTTTTATTATAAATGATTTAAGAAAATACTTGTTGGGGAAACTATTTTAATTGGTTGGCAGTGGAGATGGGCTTAAACTATTCTTTACATGTTTCTTCTCCTTTTTCTGGCAAGGAGGCCTTCTTCTTGGGTATATAAGTCATGCTGGACAAAGAATGCTTTCTAAATGTAGATAGCCTTCTCCTAAAGTTGCCCCCTGAAAAGAAATATAGGAGAGGGTCAAAGCAACAATTTGATGCAGCCAGAGACAAGGTTATGACTACTGACTTCTGCATTCTAAGGACAGAATCACAGGGTTTAGTTTCATTGTGTAAAAAATGAAGGTGGATGGTTCGTTGAATATGATATGGCATGAAGCTGATTAAAAAGGCAGCTGTCACAACTATGATCATTCCTATAGCCTTTTTACGACTTGATAGATTTTTCTTCATTGAATTTTTTAGTAAGGTAAGAATGATCATTGTGTAACAGACAATTATAATAACAAAAGGGATGATGAAGCCAACAAATAATGACACATAATGCAAGATCAAAACATGATTTTTAGCTTGATTGTCCTGTGGAGGCTCAAAGCACTTGGTATTATTTTTCTCATCTTTGTAAGGTTTGGCCATTAAAAATGGAGAACTCGTCAAACTTACAAAAATCCAGATGCCAACACACACAAACCTGGCTTTTTTCTGTGTAACCAAATTAATGTTCTGGACTGGGAAAACTATTGCAACACACCGGAAAAAGCTCATGGCTGTCATAAAGAAGATGCTACAATAAAGGTTGACATACAAGGCATAGGTGCTGAGGCGGCACAAAAAATCACCAAAGAGCCAAATGCCTTTGTGAACATAATAGACCACGCGGAGAGGCAGTGTGCACACACAAAGTAGATCTGCTACTGCTAAATTAATCATGTATACTTGGAAGGCTGATTTCTCATGATATGTTTTTATGAGGACATAGAGTACAAAACCATTGCCAAAGAAGCCTACAACAGAGATCATAGAGTACAAAGTAGAATACACTTGATTGCGGAAGTCATCAATAGTGTCATGGCATGTGTTATTACTGGCAGAAGACACTGTTAGATTTCCAGCTCCATCCATGCTTCTCTAGGAAGGTCTGCTTGGTGCCTAAAATATATTAAAAAATCATTAATTTTTGCTAGACCATAAATTACAGAAAGTACTAATGTTTCATTTCATAGTGTCACTATATATACTTTTCGACCATAGCACGAAGCAAGGGTGGTGACACAATGAGAGGGATTCAGCTGTACCCTGCCTTTAGGAGAAGGGCTTAAGTCCTACAGGCACCCAGAAAACTATTCTTTTATCCTTTCCCACCTATGTTTTTCTGATGGACTTCCTCTTAATCTTTAAGACCTAGATAAAATAGCTCTCCTATATTTTAAGTCATATTACTCTAGTACTATTCTGTATATATTCCTTTTAAATGAGTTTTTCTATTGGAGAAAAGCTTTATAGATAGTAGTTTGATATATATGAATATCTATCTATCTAATCTATTGGAAGAGCTTTGAATTTTCTTAGAAAGTGAAATCTGGATGAAAATGCTTGGTTTTCTCAAGAAGTCGTCTTCCTAGGTAACATCTGCTGAGTGCTGCTCATATTTAGGGAAAATAATCTAATTTGTTATTAATGAAACTCCCTCCCCTAGAGGAGATTCTTAATCTAGTACATGGTTGATTCTATTTAGAACCACAGAACCCCATGGCTGGAGAAACCTCAGAAGCCATTTACTTATTTTAATGATATCAAAAATGTTCCAGAGGCCGGGCTCAGTGGCTCACACTTGTAATCCTAGCTCTCTGGGAGGCTGAGGCGGGCGGATTGCTCAAGGTCAGGAGTTCGAAACCAGCCTGAGCAAGAGTGAGACCCCATCTCTACTATAAATAGAAAGAAATTAATTGGCCAACTAATATATATAGAAAAAATTAGCCAGGCATGGTGGCGCATGCCTGTAGTCCCAACTACTCAAGAGGCTGAGGCAGTAGGATTGCTTGAGCCCAGGAGTTTGAGGTTGCTGTGAGCTAGGCTGACTCCACGGCACTCACTCTAGCCTGGGCAACAAAGCGACACTCTGTCTCAAAAAAAAAAAAAAAAAAAAAGTTCCAGAGAGGTGAAATACATTTCTAAAGTCTGTACCATAATTTAAGGCTCAGAGGAAAGATTTGGCATAACTAGTTGGAATATACCTGTTGGGTGAGGAAATTATACTCATTCATCCTCATTCTCTTCCTAGACTTTTACTGAAAGCCTTACTGTTCAGCAATCTACAGTCATTTCTCTCTTAGCAAGAGGTTGGAACTTGGTCTAGCCTAGTTCAGCTCTATCAATCAGAGCAGTCAATCAGAATTCTTTACAGAGAGCTTGGGATGGGACACTGTAGCGTGGAAGTAGTGATTTCTTTAGTGTTCCTTCAGATTTTCCTCTTTTATTCTTTACAAAGGTGGAAGCAACTCTTCAATATATATTAATAATATAGCAGATAATCTTTGATTGAAGTCTGATTTATTGGCCTTTTACACAACGCCTGCTCCCTGGTAAGAGAGGGGCTGGGGTTTTTAAGGTGAGAAGGCTATTTAAGTGTGCACGAACTGCCAGCCATAGTGGGGACTGATCTGTACCAGGGATACAAAACCAGATCACTATGGTAGTGGTTACAGGTAGGATATAACTTCCATATTTACTACTGCTAACAATTATATTTGCTGTTTGGAATGTGCCATCCATCCATCTAGCCATCCCAACTAGTTGTTCCATTTTTTTCTTTTATTAAAAAAGTCATTATGTTTTTCCACCAAGAATTATTGGTACAAGATAAAAAATTGAACAGGAATCACTCTGAGATCATAGAGAAAAATGGGACCACTATTCTCAACCTCTGCATTATTTCTCAGTTTACTTTCCAGTTACCTACCTCTTTCACCATTGGTTCTCTGAACTCGGGTGCAGTTGTGGAATAAAGAGAAATTGCCTAAAGTTAATCCAGTCTTTTTCATTAGGCTTTTATTAGGTGCTTTCCCCAAACTGGGTAGTATTATGCTGAAAGGCACTAGATGGTGCTGTTGAGATTTTTGATACAGCCTTCCTCCCCGCCCTGCACTGCAGCTCTATGGAGGTACGATTGACAAAAATTACATATACTAAATGTATACAATGTGATGATTTGTTATATATATACATTGTGACATGATTACCTAAATCAAGTTAATTGACACATCTATCACCTCACATACCATTGTGTGTGTGTGTGTGTGTGTGTGTGTGTGTGTGTGGTGAGAATGTATTAACACATTAACTGCCATGTGAGCTGTATTTGATGCTAGTTTTGAGCCCAGGGCCTCATGAAACATATGTAACTCACAGATCTCTTTACCTTGGGTGCTGCATGAACTATTTTTCAAGTTGCATGTAACCCACGCACAGAAAACAATAAAAAGTAACAAATTTTACATTACATTAGAAAAGATTGTTTAGTTTTCAGTTTTTATTTTATTTTATTCTATTTTTGTAATAAAACACTGTGGCCCCAAGGAAAATTTTTTTTCTAGCATGGAAGTCAATGTGTTGAAAAACCTTGCTTTATTATAGGTTAGGGAGTAGAGACCAAAAGTTGATGCCAATATTTCTTTCTTGTTCAGTGACCTCTTAATAAATAGACCTCATTTAATAAGTAAAAAAAAGACCTACTTTCTTAGCAAATTTCAAGTATACAATGCGCTGTTATTATCTACAGTGACCATGCTGTCCATTAGCTCCCCAGAACTTATTCATCTTTAACTGAAACTTTTTACCCTTTGACCAACATGTCCCCAGCCTCTGGAAACCATAATTTTACCCTCTGCTGACAGAGCCTTTGAGAAAACCACACTTGAAAGGTATTGTAGATAATTACCAGTAGCCCTTCCTACCACCATCAGTCCTCAATCTATCTTGCTACAAACCCTTTCCAGAATAATTTTTGACACACTGTAGCTTCCAAGTATGACATGTCTGTGCTTTAAAACCTTCCATGACCCCGAGTGCCTTCAGAATAAAATCCAGATTTCTTGGCATTCTAATTAAGGCTCCTTACAGTCTGACTGCAATTTATCTTTCCCAGTTTCTCTATCACTTCTCCCTTGGCACACTAGTATAGGTCAAGGAACAAATATTTTAGTATACCAGGGATATGTGTCACAAGTTTTCCCACCCGTCTGTCTTTTTTCATGGCATTTCTTCTTGAATTTCTATTTTCTCCTTTCTGAAATGCCCTTTCCTCCATCTATGCATATGCGAAAACTATTCATCCAACTCAAATTATACTTCTTGACTAAGTTTTCCCTTAGCTTCTGTCCAAAGTAATTTGTATCTTTAATGAACTTCTATAGAACTTTAAATCTATATAACAAATCAGTGATTTGTATAAATGTGTTATCTTCCCTTCCAGACTATCTGGTTGATATATAAGAAAGCATCCCACACAGGGCGTAGCACATATGTACCTTGACCGTAAGTGCTCAATAAGTGTTAATTGAGTGAATTAGTAAGTGAATCGTAGAACAAGTTTATAATTTGAAGATATTATTTATCATTTAAAACCATTTAGAATTATCTTCTCATTTCAATATAATTGAAAACCTTTCCAGTCTTGGAGCCTAAAGTTGCCATGTAAGTAATGTTGCTTCCTAAAATATTAAGGAATGTACTAAATCACAAGACTAACACCCATATCATTGACATAGACTAATTATTTGTTTATTTGTTACAGGTTATAAATATTAATAAATTTGAAATTCTCAGATCTTTGAATAAAAGATGTCAAATATAACTGATAAATACCATTAAAAACATACGAAGAAACAGATGATCTCTAGTCCTGTTAATAAACTTCCCAGTCCTTATAGACCAAAATAAACTTTCCTAGAAATTTTGATATTTGGGTTCAATTGCTTAATTATGATTAAGTCAAGTTAATGATTTATATTATGCTATAAAAAGAGGATTGTAAAACCCTCAGATGAGTAGTGAATACTACAGGGGTAAAGATCATTTAGGCCAAGCCACTTATGTCACAGATGATGGCTTTACTTGTCTGAAACAGCATTTAATTAATTTTTATAGAATTTACTGCAATCCCTCAATAATGTGATACCCAGTAGATGGATACAGAGACTTTCCTTGGAAACCTAAGATGCCTAAGACCCTATCCCTGCCTTCAAGCAGCTCATAGTCTGAAGGGGGAGAGAAGTGATAGCTCAGAAGTGTGAAGGGGTTACAATATCACATAGTATGAGTCATCTTAGCACAAAATAAATGGATCGTTAATTGATTAATAATAGAAAGCAATAAACATAAATGGAATTGATTTCATTTTAGTGCAGATGATAAAGGAAGTTACTTTGTTAAGATAATTGCAAGTTGAAAAAGCAAGGTTCTTTTGAAAAATGGGAGCCATACCTCTTTCTGGCACTGCAAATGTTCCTTCTTATGGTAGTCAGTGCTTCTTATGGTGTAATATCAGAGGAAGCCCAAGCTGAAATCATAAGATTGAAAAGGAAATTAACAGCCTTAAAAGAAGTCCACAAGTGTTATGGGAGTTTAGCAGCCTTAAGTACAGATCCAGAGTATGTGATGGAACATCAAAGCTTTACTGACAGATTTAGGGATAGTCATTGGATTTCTTGCCTCCTTCTTTCCCCTGTATCCATTTTTAAATTCCCAGGGGGGAAATTTGGAATACAGACCAGGGCAAGTCACAGATTTTTGCTGCTGTGTGCAAGTAGCTTATGTATCTAAAAATGAACATGGTATTATAAAATATTCCTCTCTTTATGGAACCATCATGTTTCCCATTTTCTCTTCCAGACAGTTCATTATAAAGTTCAAAGGGGAAATAATTTGTAAGTTCACATCTGGATCTAGTTTGCTAGGAATAGGCATTAGAATATTAAAACTATGAAGTACATCTGTCTTGGATGGCTTAGGGATAGTTTTCCCTGAAGGAAGAATGACTTAAAGGACCTTGGACTCTTCTCCTTATGAACTCATAATAACATTTATTGTTTATACCACTAATTAACATATATATTTTTGGGAATCGACTGTTTTGTAACCTTGTGTAGTTAACTTTTCATAAGTGTATGTCTCTTCTCTTCAATTAAATTATATCTGAGAATCTAACAAAGTATAACAAATCTCCAAGAAATGAGCAGAGACAAATTTTCTTAAAGCAGTAGCAACCTGAATGCTTTTCTTCTAAATTTTTGTTCTCCTATAACAACTTTCATTCCTGTCTACAAGGTCACCCACCAGAGGCCAACAAAATAAACACCTTCCTCTAGTTTATTCTTAACAAGTAGAAATGGGCTGGAACCTTCCAAAGGAACTCTATTGAAAAAAGAATAAAGAAAATCAAAATGAAAATAAAGGAAATGCAAAAATATAAAACATAGTCTAGTTTTAAAAGCAGGAAAGTGAACCTACAGCTACAATGTGGTAGTTTGAGTACACACTTTACTCAGATAATCATTTTTCAGATTTCCAGTTTCTTCTCCCTCTCCAAGTTGTCTTGCCTTCTCCATGTAAGGAGTTGACATAGGTAAACTACTATAATCTGGGTAAAGTGTGGGTTGCAGGTAGGGAATTACTCACAGTTGGCTTTTATGTTTTGTTAATCAGGTAGTAAACTTTTAAAAAAAAGTTTTTCCAGCTTGTCCTGGGTCTCTATGTATCAATAAAGATGTAGTGACAGAATGTTGAATGTAATGTATAAAGATCCTTTCTGATCTTGAAATCATATGATTGCACTCATCTGTGAAGAAAATTAACTTTGGCTGTCACAGTTTTATGTTTATACAAAGCTTATATTTCTCCCTAGTGTGGAAAGAGAAAGAAAGTTTATGAATTTCTAAGATCCATGTATGAGAAGTGTAATATTACCAGCCTAATGCACTATCTAGTTATCCATTTCCATGGAGGCTGTGCAATTACAATTTAGCCCAATCTTTACATGCACAAGTAAGTAAATGTCACATTATATGGACAACAGTGTAGTGTTTTTTTTTTTTTAAGTTTGGTAATCTGAGGGTGTCTTTTATGGCTCCTTTAGGAATTCCCAGCTTTGCAAATAGCAAGAACTCAATACTTTCAATCCTTGCCCCACTTTCCTTTTTTGTTTCCTTGAGGACTCTTCTTTCCGGCAGAAGCTTGATCCAATATTGGATTCTACCACTCTTATGTGGGTGATTGAGTGGGTGAAGGTGAGATAATGAAGTAAAGCTGTGTATATATGATTTTGATTTCAGCTGTTAAATTCAGAAATTACTCAAATCCTTTATTTGGCTCATGTGAAGGCCAATTCAATTCAGGTCAACAAATATTTATGGAGCCACTATTCTTATAAGGAAGAGGTTATTCTCTTTCCAGTAGTCTTTAGCCTCTATTGAACCTGTAACCTGATCAAGTTTTAGTGAACAACGTAAATAAGAGAGCTCAGAGATTTTCTAAGACTATAAGGTTCCAGCTCATACACCATACAACTTAATTGCTGCTGAAATATAATTATATATGAGCAAGAATCAATTACATACTGTTGTGCTCAGTGTGATCCAAGTCCAGTATCTTCTACTAAATGAAAAGGTAATAATACCTCTTTTATGTTTCTAGACAAACAAAAAGCCATTCTTGATCTTCTCGACTGAATTTCATATTTCTCTTGTTTGAAGTGCTGTAGTGTGTTTTTGTACCTTCCTTTATAATTTTCATTTATTGCTTTGTCATTAGTTATCTCTGTGGTCATTCAATTTAAACTTCCTATTAATTCCACCCCAGTCTCACTAGACTGAAAAGGCAATAAACAAGTCTTATTCTTTTTGTATTTCCTGTTGTAGATAGTATGGTGCCTTTTAAATATTAGTTCATTTGGGTTAATCCATTTTCTTTATCATTTAATTGATGTCTTATCAAAATCAGCAGGAATCCTTGCATGGAGAAAGACAATGGGCATGGTGGAAAATTTCTAGGATTGGTAGGCAGAAGACCTGGTCATACTTTCGGCTCTGGTGGATGATTCAATTGAGTGATCTTGGGAAAATTACTTCCTCTCTGTGATCTCTCCACTTATCTGTAATACAATCGGGTTTGGATTATATGGTTCCAAAAGTCCCTTCTAGTCTACCATTCTATAATTCTATGAAGACCAGGATATTTTTTTTCTTGAAAGTAAGATAAGAGATCTATAGCTTCAAGAAGAGGAACACGAACATAAGTTTTTGCAAGTTTAACTTAAAACTATGAGTTGTCGCCTGAGCCTCTCTCAGGTGAACATCTGAGAGAAAGACTCACTTAATCCCTCTTTCAATGTATCAGGTATGATAATAGGGGGCTTGGTCACACCCCCTAAAAGCAGCATAGTAGTTCTAGATTTGATGGAGATTTCTAAACAAAGTGCTAATTTTATGATTTAAAGTTACCTCAGTTGTGAGATTAGGTTGTTAATTTGTGATCTTTCTGTCTCTTTAATGTAGATATTTAGTACTATACACTTCCCTCTTAGTACTGCCTTTTCTGTATCTCAGAAATTTTGATAAGTTATCATTCATTTCAAAAAAGTTTTTTTTTTTTTTTTGAGACAGGGTCTCTCTGTGTTGCCCAGGCTAGAGTGCAGTGATGTCATCATAGCTCACTACAACCTCAAAGTACTGGGCTTAAGTGATATGTCTGCCTCCACCTCCTGAGGCTGGACTACAGGTGCTTGACACCACACCCAGCTAATTTTTCTGTTTTTGTACAGATGGGGTCTCACTATGTTGCTCAGGCTGGTCTTAAACTGTGCCACAAGCAATCGTCTTACCTCAGTTACCCAAAGTGCTAGGATTATAGTCATGAACCACTGTGCCTGGCCAGGTTTTAATTTCCATCTTGATTTCATCATTGACCCCAAGACAACTCAGGAGTAAGTTGTTTAATTTCTATTTATTTGTATAGTTTTGAGAGTTCCTCTTGGAATTGATTTTTAGTTTTATTACACAGTTGTCTAAGAAGATACTTGATATGATTTTGATTTTTAAAAATTTATTGGGTCTTGTTATGTGGCCAAACATATGGTCTATCTTGGAAAATATTCCATGTGTTGATGAGAAGAATGTCTGTTCTGCAGTTTTGGGATACAGTGTTCTGTAAAAATCTGTTAGATCTGTTTGTTCTACAGTCCATTTTAAGTCCAATGTTTCTTGTATATTTTCTGCTTTGATGATTTGTCTAGTATTATCAGTGAAGTGTTGAAGTCCCCCACTATTATTTTATTGTTGTCTATGTCTTTTTCTTAGGTCTAGTAGTATTTATCTTATGAGTCTGGGAGCTCTAGTGTTAGATGTATATATATTTAGGATTGTTATACCTTTTTGTTAAATTGATCCCTTTATCATTATATAATGACCTTGCGTTTGTTTTTTACTGTTGTTGATTTAAAGTCAGATTATCTGATATAAGTCTAGCTACTTGTGCTTACTTTTGGTTTCCATTTGTGTGGAATAGTTTTTTGTTCCTTTGAGTCCATAAAATTATTTTATCAGTTAAGTGAGTTTCTTGAAGGTAGCAGATGTTTAGATTGTGTTTTTTAATCCATTCCATCAATCTATATATGTTGTGAGTGGGGCATTTAGACCATTTATGTTCAAAGTTAATATTGATGTGAGATACTATTCCAGTCATCATGTTTATTGGTGCAAGGTTGCCTTTGTACTGTCAATTCTGTTACTGTTTTACAAGCACTGTGAGTTTTATACTTTGAAGTGATTTTTATACTGGTGCGTATTGACCTTTTGTTCTCATGTTTAGAATTCTTTTGACTATTTATTTTAGGGACAGACTAGCAGTGATAAATTCCCCTAGCATTTGCTTGTCTGGGAAAGACTTTATTTATTTCTCTTTCATTTATAAAACTTTTTTTTTTTTGAGACAGAGTCTCACTCTGTTGCCTGGGCTAGAGTGCCGTGGTGTCAGCCTAGCTCACAGCAACCTCAAACTCCTGGGCTCAAGCAATCCTTCTGCTTCAGCCTCCTGAGTAGCTGGGACTACAGGCATGCGCCACCATGCCAGGCTAGTTTTTTCTATATATTTTTAGTTGGGCAATTAATTTCTTTCTATTTTTAGTAGAGACAGGGTCTTGCTCTTGCTCAGGCTGGTTTCAAACTACTGACCTTGAGCGATTTGCCTGTCTCGGCCTCCCAGAGTGCTAGGATTACAGGCATGAGCCACCATGCCCAGCCCCTATGAAATTTAAGAAGTAGTACAAATGCTACTGAAACTGTTATGGGAGATTGAGAAGGAGGGAATCCTTCCTATGTTACCCTACAATGCCAGTATCACCCTAAGGACAAAGTCAGGAAAGGGTAAAACAAAAAAAGGAAACTACAGACCAATTCCTCTGAGGAACATAGATGGAAAAATCCTCAAAAAAATACTAGCAGAAAGATCCCAGCCTGGGGCCTTAGCATACAAGCATTTAGGCCCCTTTCCTGTGAATAGTCCTAA